ATTAGGAGGACTGAGGTTTGAAGCCAGCCCGGGGAAATAGTTCGCAAGACCCTATGTTGAAAAAAACCCTTCACAAAAATGGGCAGGTGGAGTGGCTCAAGGTGAAGGCCCTGAGTTCGAATCCCAGTACCACAAAAAATTTACATACAAAATATTAAGAAAAATTTGAACTCAACCCAAGTCAGCAATGGCAAAACTACTAGCAGACAACAAATACATACATAGGTGACAAAAAAAGCATTTGAAGTAACGCTTAATGTCATGTCATTAGGGAATTGCAAATTAAAACATGAGCTATCACTCCACACCTACTAGACAGAATTAGTGAATAAAACCCCAATCCTGACACCATCAAATGCAGAGCAGCCTGTAATCCCGGTTACTCCAGAGGCAGAGGTAGGAGGATCATGGCCTGAGGCCGCCAGGGCAAAGCTAACACAAGACCCTATCTGAAAAATAAGATATAGGCAAAACAGACTGGACATGTGGCTCTAGTGGTAGAGCGCCTGACTAGCAAGTGGGAGGTCCTGGGTTCAAACCCCAGTAACTACCAAATAAACAGAGGAGCAACAGAGTCTATCATTCATTGCTGGAGACAGTAGGAAGTGGTGCGGCAGCACTGGAAGACAGCTTGGCATTTTATTACCGTATGTGCCAGCTATTGTACTCCTTGGTATTTACCCAGTTGCATCAAAAACTCTTGTTCACACAAAACCCTGCACATGAGTGTTTGGAACAACTTTATTCAAAATTGCCCCAAATCCAAAGGACCTCAGATGCCTTTCACCAAGTGAATAAACTGCACTAAAACAAAAACAAAACAAAAAACCACACCCCAGCAAGCCACAGAAAGACATGGAGGAATCGTGAGAGCATATTGCTCAGGGAAAGAAGCCAGGTAAGAGGTCACATGCTTTCTGACTATAGGACATTGTGCAAACGGGTGGAGACAGCAGAAGACTACTGGCCTGCAGGGATCAGGAGGAAGAAGCGAAGTCCAAGGGACTTGGAAGGAGGCAAAGCTGCTCCTTCTGTTGCCTTGTCCACATGTACGTGGTGTACGTGTTGTCAAAACCCACAGAACACAGGCTGGTGGAGTGGCTCAAGTGGTAAGAGCACCTACCTAGCACTTGTGCAGGCCCTGAGTTCAAACCCCAATGCTGCCAAAAAAAAGAGCCCATAGAAGTATACAAGAGTGAAATGTAATGTCACCTCTGGATTTCAAAAATATTATCAATAACTTAACAGCAAATAAATAAATAGTATCAGTATCATTTACTAGCAGTAATGTCAGCACTGGTTCACCAGTGTTAACCAGGGCACCACCCTAATTCAAGAGGTGGAGAATGGTGCACAGGGGAGACAGGTGTATTACGTTAGTTGACTGCAAAAAAAAAAAAACTTGAGATAAACAAGTCAAAGAAGGCAAAACCTATTTTGGGCTTAGGGTTTCAGAGGTTTCGGTCCATGACCAGCTGGCTCCATGGCTAAAACATCATGGTGGAAGGGCCTGGTGAGCAGCTCTGCTCATGGTGGCCAGGAAGCAGACAGGGACTGGGAGGGACCTGGACCAAGAGACACTCTTCTTCCTCTACTGAGGCTTCACCTCTGGAAGTTTCCACCACTATCAAATCAGATTAATCCATTGATTAGATCAGAGCCCTCATGATCAATCACCTCTCAGTCCCCCCAACACCCAAAATATGGGATTTGAACTCGGGGCCTGATGCTTGCCAGGCAGGCGTTCTACCAATTGGGCCATGCTCCCAGCTGGGGACAGAACCCACAACACATGATCCTTTTGGGGACACTTCCTACATCAACCAAACGTGGAAGTGTTCCAGAAAACAAAATCAGTAGGCTTGAACAGGATTAAGAACGCTGTGACTGCAACGTGGGCTGAGTCTACAGTGAGGCAAGACTTGGGAACCCCCTAGATCGGGAGACAGAGGTGTTGTTATTGTGGGGCCCACTCCAAGTCCAGACAGAAAAAACACTGATAAAAGTTTGGACCGGGAAACAGTCAGAAGATGAGCCTCCCACTCGTGACATCTCTTGGGTCTCAGGAGCAGGCTTGTTTCCCTTAACTTTTCATTTTGACATAACCTCAGACTTACAGAAAAGTTACAGAAAGGGCACAAAGAATTCCTGTAATTCCTCCCCCAGGATTTCCCAAGAGTCCTTACATCTGTACTGTGCTGTCCTTTCTGGTCCCATCAGCATTGGTTTAATTCTCATTTCACAACCAAGCCAGCAAGCTCTTGTTCCACTTTTTGTCATTGTCGTTCTAATGAACATTTCCTGGGCACCTAATACGGGGCAGGCATTATTCTGAGTGCTCTTGCACAGGTCTCTCCATTTCCCCTCACCTGGCCCTTGTGAGATTTGTCATTATTCCCACTTTACAGACAAGAATGGAGAGGCACAGAGAGGGTGCTCCACTGCACCAAAGGCACACAGCCAATAAGGAGCAGAGTAGCAGGCAGGTTAGGAGGGATGGTGGCAAGTGAGGAAGGAACAAAGGATGACTTAAAGACTCAGAAAACAGGATGGGACTCTCCCCGAGTCCCCAGCCCAAGGAACTGCAAAGAACATGGCTGTTTTCTCCAAGTGATATTAGACACAAGTGCAGACACAAGTCAGGGCAAGGGACATCGTTGTCTTTACACGGGGAAGTTTGCAGGGTTGAGTTCTAACTGGCCTGGATTCAAATCTCCACCCCAGAGGAGTGTGTGGGTGTGTAAGGAGTGCGTGACTGTGGGGTGGGGAGGAGATGCAGAGTGGGGTCACACCTTATCTGGAGAGTTCCACTTGGTCCTCTTGGAGCACAAGTTTCTGGAAGCCCTTCCTTCAGTTGGTGTGTGACTTGTCATTGCCTGACCAGGTCTCCAGGCCCAGGAAGCAGGGACTGCATCTGTTTCTCTCCCGCCAGCACCCAGCTCAGTCCCCCCCCCACACAAGCATGGATGACTAGGTGCTCAATAACTTTGGGTTTTCCACGCCACCCTTAACTTCCAGATTCAAGCCCATGCCAGCTGTCTGCCTGCCCCACCTGAATGCCTCTGTCCCTTTGTCTCTCTTTTCTCCACTATTCTTGGAACCTGGAGCAGAGGCGGCCTCCTCCGGGTAGCCATCCCTGAGTTCCAGGGCTAAGTCTACCCTACTGACTGATACTTGCTTGGCTGTCTTGCACACTGGTTATAAGGTCTCTAGTGACTTGTGTCTGTGTCGTCAGCATTTGTCACAGGCTGAGGCATACAGTACAGGCAAGACCAGGGGCTTTGCTGTTTTCCCACCCCCCCAAGCACTCAATCCTGCTGCCTCTACCCTTGGATTGGGAGCTCCCTGAGGGCAGGATGGGGTCCAAGTCCTCTGGACCAAAGCCTTGCCAAGTCTGAGCTGGCTGCCTCTCACCTCAAAGCTCCACAGGCACACTGGCCTTCAGGCAATTCCTCCAACATGCTCAGTTGATTCCCACCCCAGGACCCTTGCACTTGCCATTCCCTCTTCCTAAAGTAGTCTTCCCCTGGGTTCTCTTCAGGTTCTCAGCTGGCTTGCCTCCTCCTCAGGCTTCTCCTGACCACCTGCCCCATTGGCCACCTCCATTGTGCCTTATTCTTGGTGCCTCTTGTTATAGGAAATATTTTGTGTAGTCTTTTGGTTGTCGTTGTGGTTCTGCCCTCTGACTCCATCAGGTCTTTCATGGTGTCCAGGAGTTGGTAGCTACATAATTCAGAGCATGTTTCTTAACAGCTCTGTGCCTCAGTTTCCCCGTGTGTAACATGAGTAAGTGCTAGAGCAGAGGTAGTGTAAGGGGACAAATGTGAGGGGAAATAAAATGGCAGAAATGTGTCTGGGAAGAAGCGACCCTGGGGATGTAAGGGAGTGGATGGAAGAAGTAACTACTTTAGATAAAGGACACAGGGATCGCATCCTTAAAAGCAGAACATTTAGGGAGACATCTGGGGAGAGCAGCTTCTCACGCGGGTGGCTAAGCCCCACTGTCTTTTATCCTAGATAAGGGAAACAAAAGAGCTCTCCTAGGGGCAGATATCTAAGGAGGTAAAATATGGACCCCTAAAGGAAAGTAGCCCAGCAAACTTTCCCAAGATAAAGGAAAAGGGGACTCGCCAGAATAATAAGCGGTAGTCCTAAAATGTACATGACAGGTTTCAAGGACAGGACAGGCTGAGGAGACCGTCTTGGAGAGTCCCGTTGGGTATGGGGTGGACAGCCAGATGGCTGGGTTCAGCAAGTTAATTAGACAGCCAATTAGAGATGCCTAAATCAGGTCACTTACAATTTCAGGATCTTTACCTGTTCTTTGGCTTAGCTCCTTCACTAAATCCCACCCGTCAGGGCGCCTTGCTATCCTTTCGATAAACTTTAAGCTTCCTTTGCTCTTAACGCCTGGCCCGTGGCGTGAAGTTAACCCTCCTCGCCGGCGCCGTCAATCATCGACTGCGCCAGGCCACGAACCCAGGGAACAAGGACCCAGCCCGGTATCAGTACGATTAAGGCACTGACTGCTGGCTGACTGAAAGACTGAGCAAACAGGAGCGCTTAGAAGCCTGACCTGACCCCAAATGCAAGGGCCCTCCTGAAAGGGAGGCTAAGGACCTGGCAGGAGCTGAGCCTGGGAGGCCGGACGGGCTAGCACTGTATTGCAGGAACCCTGCAGCTCTTCGGGGGGCGACATCGGCGCTGCATGGGAGTCCGCGCGCGGCAGGTGCTGGGGTCGGCCTGGGAGAGGGCGGTGGCTCGGGTTACAGGACCGCAGGGATAGGCATGCGTCGCTGGACGGGGCAGGGGCGGGGCATGCAAATCAAGCGGCAGGCAGCGCGAGCAAACGAATGGGCGCCTGGGAGGGGCATGCAAATGAAGGGCGCGAGGCGGGGCATGTGAATTAAGGGGCAGAACGGCGCATGCAAATAGACGGGCGCCGGGGCGGGGTATTCAAATGAGAGGGCGTGGCGGGGCGGCAGCGGGCGGGCGGGTCCCGCGCACAGGAAAGCCCCGCGGCGCCAGGCAGCTCTGGGCCCTTCGCGCTCGCGCGCCGCCGGCGGATGGAGCAGGAGCGCGCAGGTAGGAGGCGGTCGCGCGGCTCGCAGAGAGGCGATCGCCCTGGGCACGCGGTGGGCGGACGGGAAGGCCGAGGGGCCCCAGGCCGAGGGAACCCCGGGGACCTTAGACCCCGACCCGCTCTCTTGCGCCGCGGGGCAGCGCAGGATCGGTCCGCCTCGCCGAGGGCCGGAGAACCGGGGAGGCGCTCCCCGCACAGCCCGCGCCCCCAGACCCGCGCAGTCCTCCCGACACCGGCGGCCACTGTCGGGGCTTGGGGACGCGGTTCCCAGCGAAGTTCTGGGAACCGATTTGGGCTCCAGGTGGAGGAATTGGGACATGGGGCGCGTTCGGCTTCTCTCTGGTCTGCTCCCCGGGGTACTGGGTGAACCGACCCAGTGATAGTGCTGGGCTCCGGGCACCGACCCTGTCCCCTGTGAGTTAGACCTGTCCGCGCTCCGGAGTCGGCGGTGAGGCCATTTCACAGACAGGACGTGGAAGCCCCGGCAGGTGACGCCCACGGGGAAGGTGGCAGCAGGAGTGGGAGCCAGGTGGCCCAATGCCAGCGCTGGTTGCCGTCCCCCTACCTCTCAACAGCCCAGTTTGAAACTGGCCAGAAACCGGATTCTCCTGGGGGGGGTTCCTAAATTGGAGATTCCCGGGGTCCTCCCCCTCATTCAGATTCTGTAAACCCAGGAGTCTGATTTAAAACAAAAAATACAGATTTCTTAGAACCAGGCAAGTCTGGGGTCAGCAGTTTGTTCCCTCTGGGATTCAGCGCAGCCCCCTGCCAGACCCCTGGGAGGTGTGACACACTCCTCCCTCCGTGGCTTCTCCTCTACAGGTGGGCTTATAGGACCCCAGCATTTGCCTGGGACTGATGTCCCATCCTGGAGTCCGTTGGGGAAACTGAGGCTCAGGTGTGTGTTTGGCCAGGGTGGCCTGTAGTGTAAGAGTCCTGCCAAAGCCAAAGTCCAGCCAACCCATGACTGCAGACAGGGACACTGTGGCCCAAATGGGAGGTGGCTGCTTAGCCATTCTTTCACTCCCAGTGTTCCCTGAGCTCTACTTGCTGGTGTTGGCAGACTCCACAGTGGGTTGTGTGGGCAGGTGGAGGGAACACAGCAGGTGTGACCAACTGTGATGGGGGACAGGGCTAGCAAGCTGAGACTGCTGAGCTGGCCTTGGGGTGGAGTGTTGCAGGTGAGGCCCACTGAGCGCAGACAAAGGAAAGGGCTCAGGGAGCCAGCAAGTCCAGCAAGTGCAGAGGCACCAGAGGCAGGAGGGGACCTGGCCTTGATTATTTTCACAGGCAGGCTGGTGTCACCTATCTCTTTGTGACCCTAGCAACGCAGGGCAGACTCTGGGACCTGCACCCGCCTGCCTCCAGGCGTGGGGAGCAGCAGGGAGGAAAGCCCCAGTGAGTCGCCTGGTTACCACACCAGTTCCCAGCAGAGGGTTTGCCGCGCTTGGGCTGTGACTCACTGACCTGTCTTGTGCTCTGCGCTCCCCGGGTCGCAGAAAGACGGGTGGGCCAGGGACATGTCCTAAGGCAGGCCCGGTGCCCTGCTGCTGAGTTAAGAGGAGGACAGAGGCCTCCTGAACCTGACCCCTCCTCCCTGGGATGGCACAGGGCCACAAGCTTTGGGTGGTGTACTCTCACTTGCACAATAATTGGGCTTTGGTGAGGGACCCTGACATCATGTTTTTTAGGGTTTTTTTCAGTACTGGGGTTTGAACTCAGGTCCTCGCACTTGCTAGGCAGGTGCTCTACCACTTGAGCCAAGTGAGCCAAGCCTCCAGCCCTTTTTGCTTTAGGTGATTTTTCAGGTAGGGTTTTGCACTTTTTGCCTGGGCTGATCTCAGACTGTGATCTTCTAATCCACGATTCCCACATAGCTGGGACAGGTGTGAACCACCACACCCAGCTTGTTGATTGAAATGAAGTCTGACCCCCCACCTCCCCCCCACCACCCCAGCCCCCAAGCTGGCCTGAAACTGCCATCCTCCCTATCTCCACCTCCTAAGTGGCTAGGATTACAGATGTAATAGGAGACTTAACACAATTCCCGACACATACTAGGTCCAGAATGACAGTTTCTGTCTGATGTCACCGGTCAGAAGAGTGTAGGCGCCAGAGCGGGATTCCCCAGGGTTCCTCAATCTCCCATTTGTGAAATTCTGGGAACAACTTCATATCCTGTCATGATGGAACTCATTTGTGACTGGTGGTAATAAGTGTGTCTTACAGTCACCTGCAAGCACCCCGTGGGTGGGGCTCTGTCTGTCCGTTTTGCATGTGAGGACACTGAGGCCCCCTGAGGTCTTGCCTGAGGTCCCACATCTGAGAGTGAAAGAGGGAAGGTGTGGAAGCCACCTTCCTGCTCAACCTGTGTCCTCTCCACTGTTCCCATTGCTGGTTCATCACGGCCATGTCCACTGTGCATGACCCAGCTGGGAGCAGCCTGGGTGCTGGGCTGGTTCACGTACAGTTCCCAGCAAAGGCCCCAGGTCCTGCAGAGGCAGAGGCAATCCAGCATCAGGCTGGCTGTGTCCCCAGTGTCCTGCAGCCAGTGGTTCTGGGCAGAGAGTCAGGCTCGGGCTCAGAGGCAGGGCTCCAGCTTTAGATCTAAGCTTGCTGCTTCCTAGCTGTGTAGTCTGGAGGAAGCCACTTGACCTTTCTGAGCCTGCCTTTATGTGTCAGGGGACGGGGATGAGAGCGCTTGGAGGTATTTTCCTAGACACCTTGCTGGTGAAAGAGGCTCTGCGGTGGCTCTTTCTGGCTCTGCCTCAGATGGGGTCCCTTCTCCAGATGACACCTGGCCTCTGCACTTGTTTCTTCTTCAAGGATTGTTTGAACACCCAGATCTGTGAGGCACTGTGACAGGGCTAGGGACACAACAGCAGAGTCCTTGCTCCCCTAGTCCAGAAGGTGGGCGGTGCACACAGATCCCCTGTCAGATGTGCAGCCCTCACCCACGAGTCCAAAAACCAGGAGCTCTAGACACTAGCTCACTCAGAAGCACAGTGTGACCTGAGTGACACTCAAGGCTCTTTGGCATCTGTCCCCTCCCTGGAGTCCTGTGGTGGGTGGGCAGGTGACATTTTATATATCATGACCTTGAACAGTCAGTAATTCTGATCTGTCTGTCACCCAGGATTCCACAAGAGACCAGGGACCTGCACAATCCCATCAGGTGGACATGGATGTTCAGCAGGGAGGGTGGTATCAGGGATAGTGTCCTGGAGGGGGTGACATTTGAAAGAGTCTGGGGCAGAGCAGTAGGGGAGGGACCCAGAGAGGGCAGAGGTCCCCACTTCTGCAGGCCGCTCTGTCTGAACATGTTGGCTGTTGCCTTTCCAAGAAATGTGATGTGTGCCGGGGTTTCAGGCCTGGCCTCCACTGACTCATTCTCGCTCTAGGGCCCCCGTGGGCCTCCTGACCTCTCAGCTCCCTTAGAAATCCAGGCTTTGCTAAGGCTGGGCCACACATGGAGGAAGGAAGGGGGTCCTGGGGGGTTGGTGGAAAGGTCTCTTGGAAGGGTGGGGCAGGGCTTTCGGACTCAGAGCCTCCAACCTGCAGAACCAGGTGTGAGGTTAAAATAAGAAGCACTTTGTGTTGGTGCTTATACTCAGTGGACCAAGGACTGGCAACACAGCCGGGAGTGACCCAGAGAGAGGACCCCTGTGGAGCTGACAGCGTAGTGGGGAGGGTGACTTTCAGGAGGGAGACTTGCACTTGAGACCTGATGTAACAAGACACGTGGGTGTCTGGGCGGGGACAGCACGTACAAAGGCCCTGGGGTAGGAACAAGCTTGGTGTGCTTGGCCCACAGCAAGGAGGCTGGCGGGGTTGGATGGAATTGAGCGGGAGGGGGAAGGCGTGGAGATCAAGGAGGTAAGCAGGAGCCTGATGTCTGCATTTTCTGGGCAGCTTATAGAATTGCCTGGCGAGGCAGGAACTCTTATCCAAGTTTTATGGGTGAATTCAAAGTACAGGGAAGTTTAGCAGTGTGTCCGGGGCCACACAGCAGCACAACACCGGGCACTTGGAAGCCATCCATCGTCATTGCAGTTTGTAAACACCAGGAAGATTACGGTTAAAGGTAGAAAACCCTCGCACCCCACGTTGTTGGTGTGCTGACCTGTGGCCCCCCATTTGTTGGTGTGCTGACCTGTGACCCCCACATTGTTGGTGTGCTGACCTGTGACCCCTCACGTTGTTGGTGTGCTGACCTGTGACCCCTCACGTTGTTGGTGTGCTGACCTGTGACCCCTCACGTTGTTGGTGTGCTGACCTGTGGCCTCTCACGTTGTTGGTGTGCTGACCTGTGACCCCTCACGTTGTTGGTGTGCTGACCTGTGACCTCTCACGTTGTTGGTGTGCTGACCTGTGACCCCCGACGTTGTTGGTGTGCTGACCTGTGACCCCCCACGTTGTTGGTGTGCTGACCTGTGACCCCTCACGTTGTTGGTGTGCTGACCTGTGACCCCCCACGTTGTTGGTGTGCTGACCTGTGACCCCCCACGTTGTTGGTGTGCTGACCTGTGACCCCCCACGTTGTTGGTGTGCTGACCTGTGACCTCTCACGTTGTTGGTGTGCTGACCTGTGACCCCTCACGTTGTTGGTGTGCTGACCTGTGACCCCTCACGTTGTTGGTGTGCTGACCTGTGACCCCTCACGTTGTTGGTGTGCTGACCTGTGACCCCTCACGTTGTTGGTGTGCTGATCTGTGACCCCTCACGTTGTTGGTGTGCTGACCTGTGACCCCTCACGTTGTTGGTGTGCTGACCTGTGACCCCTCACGTTGTTGGTGTGCTGACCTGTGACCCCTCACGTTGTTGGTGTGCTGACCTGTGACCCCTCACGTTGTTGGTGTGCTGATCTGTGACCCCTCACGTTGTTGGTGTGCTGACCTGTGACCCCTCACGTTGTTGGTGTGTTGACCTGTGACCTGCCAGCAGCCTGTGAGTGTGGCCAGGCAGGATTGGGAGCGGTAAACGGCATTTGAAAAGCGGTCTG